GCAAACCTGTTATTAAATTTGTTGGGACGGATTTTAAGTCTGTTATGAAGTGCATTAAATTTATTGAAAATTATTTTAGTGCTGGTAGAGACTTTTTGATAGGTGCAAGTGCTATGTAATTCCTTATGCAAAATGTCGTAATATTTTTTTTTTTTTTTTTTTTTTTTTTTTTAATGACACTGAAATTTTTACTAGCTTTGTCGAATTTGGTGATGATAAAGCTTTCTTGTAGTTTATTAATATGAGATTCTAGATGCCTTTGATTGGGGCATATGACTGAAACTAGATAGCTTAAAAAGCGTAAGTTTAAAATCTTTAATAAAAGTTGCTTTCCATTCAAGAAATGTTGTCGTGGGCAAATTGATGCTATTGCTAGCCAAAATAATGAATTTATCAAGATCATTGCTGAACTGTTTTAAGCAATAGTGTTTATTAAGACTGAAAGTTGGATGAAATTTGGTACCTAGTTGCATGAGTTCTCGCCGTTGCACATCTTCAATGATATTAAGATCTCTTGTGATAATATGTTGGTGAAAAGGATCTACAAATTTATTGTAAACAGGAAGCTGGCAATTTCATAAGCTATCAGCTACTACATTGTGGTGGTTAATTATCATGTTACCTAAAGTCTTTTCAAATTTAAAACAGGGTGTAACTTGAAGCCGTTGGTCAGGAAGCAGTTGTTGACATCTTTTGAACATGCATGGAATTTTTAATTGATCATTAAAAAGGTGCTTGAATTGTACTGTAAAAAATTTTCTTGCGGAAAAAATTACTATTCTTTAATTTAAAATTGCAAAATTCAACTGTTAGATCTTTGACTATTTGGCTACATTGAGACTGTTGATTAAGTATGTGAATAAGATTCCATAATGTAACATTTTTAAGGATATGCAAAAGGTTAATGGCATTTTTTGCGAAAACTTTCTTTCCAAGGAAGGAATTCAGATTTTGAATAATTAATTCGAGATCTTGTGTGGAAAAATATTTTTTGTGGTTAGAATTTCCTCCTCTTGTTCCTCTGGGAGTAATAGTATTAAAAAATCTGAATTGTCCATATATAAACTCTTCTGCTTGTCTATCGGTGGTATTGTTGAGATTAGCATTAAGTCCGTAAGGATAAAGTGACCTTTAACTAAATTCACTTGTACATTTAATTCCAACCGAATAAGTATACATAGACTATAGCTTTTTTAAGTTTTAATCCTATAAAACAGAGAAAAGGATTTTAAATATTCCATTAGAAAAAGAACACACATTTTTCAAATCTAAAAGGTTATTCTGAAATCAAAGAAAGCTACTTTCTAAATGAATTTTACGATAGAAATAGAATGAAATTATACTCAAGATGCCGAACCTTTCAAAAACTAAAAGTTTTAAATTTGAAATACCGATGTATCTTTTATCTAACTATCAAAAAATGACTATTTCGAAAGTCGATCAGATCTGGAAAAGAAAGAAAAGAAACTACAAAATAAAGGAACTGAAATAGCGAAGAGAAAATTAATTTGATTCGACACTATCACTTTCAGCTCCGAAGGGGAAAAAGTAAAAATTTCATCAAGACTGTTCTCGTTTAATTTCCGTTAAGTTCTCGTAGTTGCTAGTGATTTGTCGACGATTTAATCATTCAGATATCTCCATTAATGTTTCACGCGTTAATGAATTTTATTATTACTTTCGCAGAATGTTTTCTTTAAAACGTTAATAATATGTATTTTGCTTAATATATTGACATATTAAAAATCATGCACACTCTAATTAATATATTGATATATTAAAGATCATATATATTCTGATACTGTTTCTGAAATATAAGCTGGATACTACAATAATGTGAAAGTTTTAACTGTACAGTACAACATGCTGTTAATTTCAAGTGATTAAAGAAATGTCCTTTTGAATAGTTCAAAATGAAACAGCTGAGATGGAATTTCTATTTCAAATAACGCTAATTAAAATTATTTCTACAACACTTCATTTCTCTTCAATTCATTGAATATTTCAGCTGACAGTCGATGGAAATCGAGTTGCCCTTTACTCAAGGCAGAATAAGAATTGTGCGCAGTGAAATCAAATACACAGAAAGCAGGCACAATTTCAATGCATTCTGATAATGACCATAGTTTAATTATAGAGAAATTAAAAAAATTAAACAATTATTTTTTAAGCAAAGGTAAATGTTTTGACAAAATGGAAATACTCAACATTAAATACAGACTTCGTACAGTAAATAATTTCATCTACAGTCTGATATAATGTTTGATACAAGTAGATATAATAATATTTGATAACACATTACAATCAAAATCTTTATTATTAAACAAAAACTCAGTACTTAGCGTTAGGATTAAACTACACATATTTCAAGCAGTACGAAACCAAACATCTATTACAAAAATGCCTATGTACTCTGAAATTTGACCGAGGTAATGCATACCAAGATCGAATGCTTCTAAACGAAGTTGCCAAACAAACGCAACTGACGAACTGGATAATTTTAAAGCACACTACGCTATCTGGCTAGCACTACTGCTAAGGAAGGGATGCTTTCGTGGAGAACTTTCTTAGGAAACAGGCCTCGAATTCATGTTACACAACGGGAAAACCACGAAATTTTTCATGCAGCCATCCATTCGCAAGGATCTGAATACACATCGAACTACTAGTTTGTAGTATTCAATGAGCTTACTACTCGGCCATTAGAGGGTTTATACAAATGCAAATGATTTTTCTCAAATACCGATTTTCTAGACAACAAAGCGAAAACAAAAGTTATGAGAAATTTTTTAGCGCAAAGAGGTATTGGCCTAGGGCTTTAGTCTAATTTTTCAGTTTGTTGCCAAATATTATCGCCCTGTATTTACACTTAAAGAAATTAAGTAAAGAATCTGCATTAATGTATGTATGTGTCTCGTATTAGGAAGAGACAACGGTGCCTACAGCCATAAAAGTCTGAATAACTTAGTCCTCCATCCGAATATGGGCACCTGGAAGCCCGAATTTTGAATTTCGAATGAGGAAAAACACGAAAACTTACATGCAGCCAGCCTCCACCGGGACTCAACTCCAGACCGAACTACCAGTATTTAACAGCTTTTACTACTCTGCCGCTGGTGAGCCAACTTTGTTAATAGGAGGTAGATTTTGAGGTAATCTCAGCATAGGTAAAATTTTATTTTATTTTTTCGTTTTATCTTAACAATGCTTTTAAAGCAATGCTAAAGTAAGCAATATCATTCAGTTGGCTTACTTACTTCGTGTTCATTACATAGATTTCACTTTATTCTTTATTGCCGTTGCTTCTTTAAAAAATACCGTACTGGTCTGAATGCAAGACGTCTCAAGATAGAACGCAGTTTTTCCCCTGCGTTATTTAGTGTTTTTATAAAAGCAATTAAAAATGACTTCATGTTTGTTTAGAGACTCAAAAAATTAGATGCAAATTCAGAATTGCATTTAATACTGTGACTGTTAAATTAAAAGAGATTTTAACCAAATAATTCATTATCATGTATTTGGGTTTTCCTTTTCTGTAGCTGTTCTCCTTTAATTAATGCAGATCCCTTGGATATACAAATATTTGAAGGAAGAGGAAAGGTGTTTGCGCACAAAACTTTCTGGAACATCTTTGGACAAACAAAAAACAAAAACAAAACAACAAAAAAAAAAAAAAAAAAAAAAAAAAAAAAACTATGGAAATATTGAAATGGTAATGGCAGATTCAAAACTGAGAGTTTCAGAAATAGATAAATTAAAGTATCAACGAATTCGAAGAGAATTACTTTAAATCCCATGTTTTAAATAAAAATAAAAAAAAAAAAAAAAAAAAAAAAGATTATTTAGTTATCATTTAAACATTCCGAAAAAATGAGATAGCATCTGCTTCCTAATAATTGTATAATAAGATGGCAACTTTTGTATGAATGTGATGCTGTCTTTCGCTTAATTCTTCTTAGTTTTGTGATTAAGGTATATCAAAATTATATAAATTATTAATATAATTAATAATCAATCTGTTTGATTTTTAATTGAGAGGATTAAAAAGTATTATCATTAAATTTTATTGCGCATTATAAAAAGAAATTTTTAATTATTATTAAAAGTTATTTAATCACCGTCATTACGAAAATTTATTAAAGTTCTTATTAAATGATACCTATCACAGCAAAATACTGCTAATTATATTTTGCGTAACTTAAATTTGGCTTTTAATACCAAAACATAAATTTAATTTTGTGCTTCTTGCACTAAATAATAATCTAAAATTAACTTTTTAACATATCCCTAAGGCTACTTAAAGCAACACTCGAGAACTTAACAAATGCTGAAATAATTTATGTAAATTTGGTTAAATTACACATCTTACAATAAGAAACAAATTTGAAACCTGCTATTAAAAAGCATTTTTTAGGGAGAGATATATTTTTGTACTATGAAACCATTTTATCTCACATGCTTTTCATAAAAACTTATAAGGAATTATTATTGATCGTATTACACTTATTTTGAAAAGAGCTAATAATATTTAAATCATAATATAGAAATTATTCAAAATTCTTTATTCAAAATAATATGAAATTTTATAATGAAAGCAAGTCTAAGTAAAAAGCAATATTATAAAATATTTTTAAAAATTGTTTAAATATCAGTCAAGCAAAAAAAAAAAAAAATTAAAAGTAGAAAAATACTTAACTTTTATCACATATTTGTTTGAAAAAAGTAAAACTTACAAAAACTTAATTATTCCATTCAAAGAAAACTATTTCAGAGAACAAACAAACAAAAAAAAAAAAAAAAAAGTTTGAACAGACCCAAAATAACTATTATAATAGCAGTTTATTAAATGTTGAATGGAAGTAGCCAAATAGAGAAGTTTCGAAATCTGTTATCGACCAAAACATTTAATACGACAACTGTTGACTCAATGCAACATATGGCATGAACTGCTTCGCAGGTGTGGACCGCGAAATTATAAACTATTAAAATAAATAACTTACCATATCTTATTTCGTTCGCGGAAGAGAGTCATAAACCAGCATTATCAAACTGAATGATAGGTGTATCATCTAAAGCTCTGGTATCTAATAAAAATCATGAACAACAGTTATATTACACACAACTTTTAAATTTAACAGCTGACTCTCAGTTCGACATATTGCTTTCTCCCGTAGCTCTTCGGCATCATAATCTCAGACACCTGTTGGATATGTGGCGCCCTCTGGTGAAGAAAGTTTGCTTTTTTTATCTGCAATCCTCAAATCTGAAACGTGAGAATTTTCAAATTAATTATTTTTTTAATACAAATATGCTATGTTTAACATTTTCCGATTATTATAACCGCTATGCTTATAATGCTTTCTGCGCGTGTTTTAAAAGGGAAGGAAAAAAGGCAGAGTGAACTGCGATTTAAAAGAAAGTGGTTGAATTGCACTGGAAATTTACCAAGAGAAACTTTTGCATCGATCATACACTGATCGTACTCCTCTACAGCAGAATTCTTCCAATTAAACTCATGTGTATTTTGCATGATTTATAGGCCGTTTAACTTGGAAATTTGGCCTTCAAAATTTCTGTGTCATCCACCGTTTTTGAAAAATAAGTAGTTTCCAATTACGAGGGAGGCATTTTTAAGCGTAAGATTTAAGCATTTTTAAGAACGTGATTATCATGATTAAAGTTATTTTGTACAAGGGCCGGTAACAAATTTGCTGTTATAGATAATTATATAAGCATGAAAAATTGCACTATCCACATACAACGAAAAACTTACTTTAAGTAATTCTGTGCAAAAATGTTTTTGTCACAAGAACAGAAGATCGATGACTGAATTTAAAATTATGGTATAGCTCGAGAAACTGCAGTTTTTTCATCAACTTAACTTTATTATTAAAAAAAATTAAAGAAAATCTGAAAGGTTTCATTAAATCCGTCCGTTTAAATTACGCCCAAAGGTACGTTTGTTACCTTTATTTATTAAATACCATGTTCTTCGCACTTCAACCATAAAATTCAGTTCAATAGCAATATCGCAAAATAATTTTAAATTGAGCATATCTTTAGAGTTTCCGATACACAGTCTCACGCGCTGGAGATAAAAAATGTTTTTTCCTGTACAACGTTGCCATTGCTCGCTTTGAAATCCTTGTGTTTCTTAATCAAAAATTCGTTAAAGGTTTACAAAATATAAAATCGATAATAAAACAAATTTCAAATTTGGACTTCCAGATGCCCATATTCGCAACATGGATTACATCATTCAAATTTGGGTGGCTCTAGTTATCGTTGTTTCACCACAATGAGAGAAATATACATATATTTATGCAGATTCTTCATTATTTAATTTCTTCAAATGTAATACAGGTCGATAATATTTGGTGGCAACAGTCTGAAAAGTGAAACGGACATTCAGAGTGATTCTACGCAAAATCGCAAAACGAAAACAATAGTCCCTCAGGGGCAAAGCCTCTTTAGAGTAAATAACGAAGAATCTGTATGTATGTGTGCATCTATGTTCCTGGCACTTTTAAAAAACAGTGGCACTTAGAGCCACCAAATTCTAAATACACGTAACACGAACATCTGTACTTCGAAGCCGAAATATTCAATTTCTATTTTTATTTTTACTAATGTCCTATAGAGTAGGAATTTAATGATTTTTTTATTCATAAATTCAGCGATTTAAAAGCAAGCACTAGTAATATCTTTCGAAATAAAACATTTTATATCCAAGTGCCCCGGACTGTTGCCATTCGGCAAGATGTAAACATTTAAGTTTCACTTTTAAACAACAAATTCGGCTATTTAAAGGGGGAAAAATGTATTGCCACTGCTCGAAATCAAATATTTTTATTTTCTACGCTCCAGTGTGTTGCCATTTACACTCATGTCCATAAATTAAGGATAATCCAAATCAGGCAAAGGAAGAGTTAGAAGCAAAATAAATTTGACTTATTTGTAAAGCTATATTTATTAAACAAAAGGTAAAGAGCAAAAAAAGATGCTATATGTTTGATATTGTTAAAAAAAATTAGCGAATTTTTCTCTCTGAAGCAAATTACGCCTAGGCATGCTGAGTACCAAATCATCGATCTGATCTTGGGGGATATTACACCACTCAAAAAGCAATGCTGTCCGAAGTTCCGGTAGACATGTAGGAGGAGGTTGACGGGCTGCAACTCGTCGGCCAAGCATGTCTCACATGTGCTCTACTGGATTCAAGTCCGGTGAGAATGCCGGCCAGTCCATACGGGTGATATTATCCAATTGAAGACATTCGCTTGCGATGTTTGCACGGTGAGGACGGGCGTTGTCTTCCATAAACACAAATTGTGCGCCCATGACACCCCGAAACAAACGTACATGTTGTTCCAGAATGACGTCCCGATAGATTTGGCTTGTCATGATTCCAATTTTAACATGCAGGTCAGTTCTGGAACCCAGAATAATTCCACCCCAAACGAGCACTCCTGCACCACCGTAACGGTGTCGTTCAATGATGCTTCTTGGTGGTAACGGGTACCTGGAGCTCTCCATATGAAAGTCCGGCAAGAATCAGACTTCAAGCTAAACCTGGACTCGTCGGAAAACATCACACAAGCCCACTGTTGCGGTGTCCATAATGCATGCTCTCTACTCCAGGCTAACCGCAGGCGACAGTGAGTTGCAGTAAGTGGAATGCATCTGACAGGTCTACGAGCATATAGACCAATCTGCCTTAAGCGTCTGTACACGGTCTGCCTTGAAATTGTCGTACCAGTGGCTGAAGAGAGCTGACTAAACAGGTCTGAGGCTGTGCTCCGCCTGTTTCTTTTGGCAGTAACTGCCAAATACAGGTCGTCATTCGGCGTTGTAACTCTGGGGCGACCTGTGCTGTAACGTCTATTCATATTACCATCATCTTGGAATCGTTCCCAAAGCCTGGAGATGACACTCTGGGCAATTCCAAGTTCGTCTGATACTTCCAGTTGGGTATGCCCACATTCCAGACGGCCGATAATTCTACCACGTAAAAAATTATCCAAATGCGTCCTTTGTGTCATAACTATTCGGTTATTGCACTGAAATGCTTATAGAGTGCCTGCGAACAATTTTACTTCTTTGCCTGTATTCCTAATGTATCACTCTCTCACACACTCGTCATTGTGACGTACCATCGGTGTCATCTGGTTACTTCCTGAAATTTGCATATGATTCTTGAAAATGTGTGTAGTGATTTAACAAGTGATATATTTATTTTATACTTCCATTTCCGCGTGACTCCGAATTATCCTTAATTTATGGACATGAGTGTAGTAAAGCGTAAGATATTTAACTTTTGAATTTAATCTGTCTGTTAGTGATTAAACAAACCAAGCGATTTAAAAACAAGAAACGCTGTTCTGAATATTTTTACCTATTTTTTTTAATCCGATTGATTTAAATACGAGTAAAAAACATTCAAATCATGAGATGTCTAATTAGAAACGGTACAGTTCTGTTATAAGGACCGGTTTCAGAAATGTAATGTATGCATATATGAATGAATAATATGTGTTTATGTATGCATGTATATATGTAAGCACGAATGTATGTGTGTATACATATACACATATACGCACTTACATATATACACACGAGCAGCATACATTCATACATTTCTGAATTCGGTACGGATAACGGAACGGTACTTTAGAAACACTGATATGTTCATGAAATTTCACTATCTGGCCACATTAAAATAATTATTCATTTTCAGACAACAGACCGAGCAATCAGCTAGCCTGAAATAAATGTAAATGCAGTTTTGTTTTCTAAAGTGTGAATGAATTTACTTCCACTTTTGTTGGCGCTTTGCTCTAAACTAGAATCTTCAATAATTACTACAAAATACGCACTATGAAAATTATGAAGGGAATTTTAATGCTTAGCTGATAAAAATACATTACTACGTGTTATTATATTTTATGGACAATCTTTGAGTCATAGAAAAGTAATTTTAATATGAAACAATTATACGTGATGAGAAAAACAGAGCACTTGTAATCATAGATGCCAAGAAAAAAATATATTTACTTCAACTTCATATAATGACTTGATTCAAAATGAAAAGGAATAATTTTATAAGAAAAAAAAATCTTAAAATTTTCAGATTTTATATTACGTATAATAGAGTGTTTATTTTATTTACACATATATACGCGTTTTGAGAGCATTTGGACTAATACCCCTTTGAGTATAAAAATATTTTAAAATAGCATATCTTTAGAATTTCCAATAGACAGACTTGGGAACTGGAAATAAAAATATTTTATTCCGCACATTGTGTCCACTGCTCGCTTTGAAATCGGTGAGTTTCTTAATCAAATATTCGTTAAAGTTTTGAAAAATATGAAATGGATAATAAAACGAATTCGAAATGCAAAACTCGGGTTTCCAAGTGACCCTATTCGGGTGGAGGCCTGCGTTATTCAAAATTTGATGGCTCTAGCTGCCGTTGTTTTTTCGCAGTGTGAGAAACATACATACATTCATTCAGATTCTTCATTATTTAATTTCTTCAAATATTCTTCAAATGCAGGACTTCGTGGCAACGATTTGAAAAGTGATACAGCCGTTTATACGATTCGACTTTCGAAAATGCCTTTCGAGATTAATAGCCTTTCCGGGCTGACGCCCCTTTTAGCTAATTAGGATCAAAATCTGAACATTAGAAAAAATTAACAACGACTAGTAGTTGATGCAAAAGCGAAAAAATATTAAAGTGAAAAAAAATGAAAAAATTTATTAAACTATTAGGCAAGATTCCTAATTTATGTCGTATGTCTAGATCCCGCATTTTTCATCTTTTATTCCTTTGACATATTCCTTACATTTTTGAAGTTCTGAGGGTAGCAGTTAAAAATAATTTAATTATTCCCCCCTACCAAAAAAGGTTTTTTATTTTAAAGGCTTTCGTATATATAAAAGTAAAAATTGCTATGAAATATTTAATGACATTGCTTAGATTAAAATCGCCTAAATATTGCAAATAAAATAGCAGTGATGTAGAGATTGCATAAAATAAGCATGTTTCAGTGGCAGAAACATAGAAGTAAATAAATCATAACTGCAAAGATACAAATAAAATTGCAATGATAGAAGCATAGAAATGAATAATTAATGCAGCACAGAAATTTAAAAAAATAAACGGGTAAGAGCCTCATAA